GTCTTTTGTTATGCATGTGTGAAATTTTAATTTGGACAATAATTGCTTACGCATGATTTAATGCTTTCTTGATAGTTACTATATTTTCCTTGACACCTAATAATGAGGGATCTTCGTCGAAGTCCACCATCAAAAATATGTGAACAAACCTTATCTGCTGCTGTCTTAATCGTATCTGTAGCATTTTCGTATACCTTATCTGCTGCATTCTTAAGCGTATCTGTAGTATCTTGGTATGCCTTATCTGCTGTCGTCTTTATCGTATCTGCAGCATCTGATGCAACATCTTTAGCTTTCTTGTACATTTTGTTTTCTAGAAGGATAAAAAGAAATCATTTGTTCATCTTATTCCAAATCACATATTTTAAACTGTTCAGAATTTAAATATATTAAAAAAATTTAAATTAATTAATTTTGTTAATTAAAAAAAAACCCAATAATAATCATTATCATCCATTGGAAAATGTTCGAATTTAAAGTGTCATTAAGTTATACGCTCGAAGAATGATTTATTGCACAAAGGAATGGATAATAATATTTCTTCCGTATAATAATAAATTTTCTACTTCCATTCATCTTTTCATTCATTATTTATTAATTCAAAAAAAAAGAGAGGAGGAAGGTAAAACTGCAGAGTGGCATGTTGTGGTGAGTTATTGACAACATAAATGAATTCTTGGTGTATGAGCTGTCATTAGATCTTATTACATCTAAATGTTGTAAACATTACACTCCAATGTTGTAAGCATTAGTCACATACATTATTAACGAGAATTCATGAATATTATCTGAGTCACGTGTTAGGTTAGAAAATGATCAATAAGTATTTCATCATCGATGATAAAATAATGCTGGATGTTGTTAAAACGCAAACAATTTACTTTGAAAGTATAACATATAATTGCACAATTATCTAATACTAATTAACATTTCATTTTAGGAATCTTTGCATAATTGTTATTTTAATCGATAATATTCATTTAATTACTACAATTTGAGGTCTTTTAATTACTATTTGTCTAATTTAATATCCTTAATTGATAATTACTCGAAAAATTGCTGAACAAATTAAATTATTTCCCGAGAAGAAATTTTTCCGCTTTACTGCAAAATTCTTATTTATTTAGGAATTTTCGACAAAAATTCCGAAACTGTTTCATACACTTTTTTTTTAATTGAATTTAATACAAAGATTTATTCCGGAATATAAAAAAATCGTTGATGAAGGATTATTGCTTCATTCCGGAAATATTTTTATATCTACAATTACGTTGCTATACAATTCAAAATTTATATTTGAATCGCAATTATTTTTATATTACTTCTGTTTTCAATAGATCTTTTAAAACTTTCTTTCTTAGTTATTTTGCCGACTAAAATTAGCATTATTGGTTCTCTATTCCCAAATTACAATGATTGGATTGTATCAAATGAATTTATGATTGTAAATAAATAAATGAAATAGTATTAATGATAAAATGAATGTAAGTAAAAACAATTCAAGCAAACTTCTAATAATCATTTTACGCAAGAAATAATGAATGAAGCAAATAGCTACAGAATGCATTTTTTTTTTTGGTGAAATTAATTAGCAGCCTAAAAATAATTGAAATTCTTCTTAATGCAAACCAATAAACAAGAAAATTTCATTCATTTCATAATTTTAAATTAAATTCTGATATCAATTTCCCCTTTTCCCATTCGCATAAATTATCAAAATCTTAGCCAATTTTATTTTTTACATCACATCTATAAATGCTATATATCGTTTATCGAAGAATTTCCATTAATGAAAATGAAATGAAATGAAATGAAATTGAAATGAAATGAAATGAAACGAAAAGAAATGAAATTGAAATGAAATGAAAATGAAATTGAAATTGAAATGAAACGAAATTCAAATGAAATGAAATGAAACGAAATGAAATGAAATTGAAATGAAATGAAATGAAAATGAAATTGAAATTGAAATGAAACGAAATTCAAATGAAATGAAATGAAATTGAAATGAAATGAAATGAAATTGAAATGAAATGGAAATGAAATGAAACGAAATGAAATGAAACGAAAAGAAATGAAATGAAATGGAAATGAAAATGAAATGAAATCATTTCACCGACATGAAATTCGCATTTTAAAGCAAATTTACTAAGATTTCAATTTTTTTTTTTAAAAAAATATTTCTTTTGATGAAATAATGTTAAATTTGTTTTCTTCTATTTTCTTATTTGATTATTTTAATTTCTTTTTCATTTTAATTTATATATAAGTACGAAACATTTTACTTAATCTTATTTAAAAGAACTTCGTATATTCAATATTTCAATAAAAAATTTTTTTTTAAACATTTCTTTTCCTTTTTATTATACATTTTAAAATTATCGCTAATATAATGAGCAGAGAATTGAAGGAAATTGCTGACAGCTTCTTTGGCTTTAATTCTTACCATCACAAATATCAGACGTTCAATAAATTGATTTCATTAATTATTCGATCATTTGTCAATTTTGCCACAACAGAAAATGTTCTTTTAGCAAACGATTATTGGCTTTTCCATTGCAAAAACGATCAGAGAAATAAATGATAATTATTATAGTTGAAATCTTTTAATAATTAATGTTATTATAAAATTTTTTAAAATTTATTTAAAGATAGCAATCTCAGTTATGCTAATAATTCGTCTAAATTTAATGAGTTATCGAAAATAAGCAAATATTCTTCAAGTATAATTGGCTGATTTAATGAGATTAGCAATCATGAAACTTGCCTAATATCTAATGTTCAGGCCTAAGGTCATGTGATGACCAACCAGAACGGATTAAAAGATGAACTTGGAAATTAATTGTTTTAATAAGTGATGCAAACTCATGGCAATGTGCAATGGAAATAAATAATCCGTTGAATCTCCAATTCGAATTAAAGTTAGCATATATGCGTATATATTTAATTTAATGAATGGACTAAATTTTTGTGTTAAAACTACAACAAACGTAAGCAGATTAGAATCTGAGAAATCCCGGTCTATTTTTAATTCCGAAAAAAGGCAATCAATCATTTATATGTTTCAAAAGTTTAATTGATTGTAAAAAATTTATCAATGCTTTAGTTTGTCAAGCTGAAAATATAGCTAAAATAATGAATTATATGGTTAAGCATTATTTGTAATTCATTCCAATATTTTTTCAGTTTTTGAAATCAAACTTTTTCTTTTGAAAAAAGTTGTAATTAAATTATTAATTTATAAAATAAAGCAGTCTTTGCTAGTTTAACTGTGTAAGACAGAATATTAAAGGTGAAGTATTACTACTTATCATTGAATTAAGGAAAGCAATTTAACTTCAATATATTTGTGCATTTCAATTTTATTCAATTTTATTTATTAGCATCGCAGATTGAATTTTAATTAAATCGACATAATAGATGTTAAACCCTTTCTTATGTAACACTGATATATTTGCTACATTTGTTGTCAAATTTACTTAATGGATCAGTCAATTCAACAAATCAAAGCAATTCAACGAAAATGCTACCATTCAAAAGTAGCGGTAACAATGTTGGAAATGTAAAAGCAATAATTAACAATGACATTAATAAATTTTCAATTAAAAATATTAATCGAATTGATTTTTAATCAATAAATTTCAATTCTTATGTTTGGAAAATTTTGCAGGAATTTCGGCAAATAAAAATTATTGTTAAAAAGTTTTCATTTTTTTTTTTCATCAAAAGCCTTTTTATCAATTGTATAAAATTATTATTGTAAATTGAATAATTAGCAATTATACATAAATATTTTTACAATGGGAAGAGAAAGTGAGAGAAGGAGAAAAGAAACAGGAAAAAAGAGAGAATTGAATTTCAATTAATATTCAAAAAATTTAATGAATGGTCAACAAGAATATTTCAGGTCATTTCAACTTTTCCGAAATTGGAAATGGTTTTTTTTTTTATTCAAAAGAATTAAGCTTTCGAAAATTTTCATTGCCAAGTAATTAGTAATTCAACCGGATCTGATTTATAAATAGAAAATAGGCAATTAAATTTATCGTTTTAAAATTCCATCTTACTTATTTTTCAAAAATTATAATTAGAGATTTTTCTTTCATCCTTCTTTGTTTTTGCTTGTAAAATTAAATCAAATTGTTGTAGTTATTGTACTATTTGAGATAAATGGTAACAAACCATAAATTATGATTAATTAACTTTGCTTAATTATACCACAATTAGATATTTAAATACTTATTTATAATTTACTGATGTTTCAATACATCTTATTAAATTAATTATTCAAATTCAAATTTTATTACCATTATAATATTCGTATCTCATCATATTTCTGCAGTAATTATTTAACAATTTTTGATTCGTATTTGTTAATAAAAGGGTGGACAAAAATTAGATAGTATATAATTTAAATCCTTCGATTAATTTTTCTGTTTTCATTTTATCTTACCATAATTATGATATAAAACGGTTGATATTTAATGATAATGATGTCACTTGAGCTGTTATTTTTATTTTCCTCCGATAACGAATGTTCGTCTTTAATTTTCAGATCAATCTTTCTTCCGGCAAAAATGATAGTAAAAAAATGTATTCACTCCAGAATCTATATTAAAATAAAAAAAGTTTATCAATCCGGTCCTGGTACTATTGCTTTAACCGGAATGAAAGAATAAATATCGGAACAAAACTTCTGATAAATGAAAATGCACAATTAATTTATTTCTTTGTTGCAGGATTATCGAATATCAATGTAAACTAGCTATGAATTGAAAGTTAAAAATTGAAACTCAAACGAGCTTTTAGAAATTTAGAAAACTTAAGTTTCAGTATTTTATTTTTCAAAATTTCATCTATGAAGAATAACTGGGAAAAAGTGATAATCGGTCGGAAAAGATCAAACATATTTAAAGTATAAAAATAGGAAATTTAAATTTATAAGAGCTGAAATTAAATTAAAACTAATAAAAGTTCTGCCAATTATTATTATCATTTTAAATTTCTACTATCTTTTCATTGATTAATTTATCAAAAATCTTCATTTTCATCTTTTTTTTTTGAAAACAATTATCGTAATTAGAAGGGAGAATGAAGTGAGAGGAAGGATAACGACTTGCTGATCGAATAAGCCGTAGAGGTAACACTCACAGGCCTACTGAATTCAAGCTCTTATAATGGATGATGTGACGAAAAAGATATTAGGAAAGCCACATTGAGTGTTCCCATAGCGGTTGCTATAGTCACCGGTATGGAAACTGATAAGTAAGCTTCACCGATCATGCGCAATCCTTTTCATGCTTATGTATATCGCGTATATCCAAAAAGTGTTTTGTGTATGTGCGTGTGTGTGTGTGTGTGTGTGTGTGTGTGTGTGTGTGTGTGTGTGTGTGTGTGTGTATCTATGTATGTATCAGTTGATATTTCCTATAGATATGTACATCTACTGATTGGTGTTTACCAGAAATGTTTGTATCAGTTATTTTAAACTGAATTTATAGTGATATATGATTCATTCGTAGGTAATTAAAGAAAAATACTTCAAACACCTTTCAAACATCTTTTGTTTTTGGCTCATTTATTTTCAGGTTATATTCCCTTTTACTTTCTACTTTTTCTCTCTTTTGCAGGTCACTGCATTCAGAAAAGAGTGAGTGGACATTCATTAAAAAAAAAACAGTTTGGTTAATAGAATTAATGAAAACAATGCTTATTCATTGGTTAATTGAAGATGGCATTTGTGACACAAAATATTCCATCGAATTCAAAAATTCTCATACATAAAGTATCTTAACTTATTATAAAACTAGCTAATTTACAGCATTTTTGTACTAAATTAGAAGTAATTATTAAAATATCATTTTAAATTAGAAATCTTCAAAGAAACAAAAATGAAAAATAAGAAATTGAAGAAATTTATTTTTTAGGATAATAAAATTCAAAGCACAATCATATATGATTATTAATGATATTTTATATGAGTGAAGTCGAATTCATATTTTCAGATTTTTTGAATAATTCCAATTTCATTATCATCTTCACTAACATATTTCATTTCATTTCAGGTTGGCTAAAATTAACTAACAATTTTAGCCATAACACTTTTGATTCGATGCAAAATTATCCATTCATTTCATCATCAAACATTTAATTGGTTTATTCTTACCTTCAATAAAAATTACTGGAAAAGTTTGTTTGCTTTTTTGAGAGCTATTAGCCAATCTTCGTCATCATCATTGTCACCAACATTGTTATCATTATCGTTGTCGTCGTTGCTGTCATCCTTCTCATTATCATTCAATAAAGCAAGAATGATTAATGCATATTATAAAGCTTACGGAGAGCAATTTAAAAATAACTTGAAAGCTGTTTAATAGCAACCAATCTTTTTCGTGTCCTAAAATTTTAGCATCAGCAAAACGTATCCAATCAACCTAACCAACCAAAAAAGTTTTTCATTCTTCATTTTATGATTCTCTCCTAGTTTTATTTCTCTCTTAAATAATAAGAAATAAAAGGAAAAGGAACAAATAGGTGTTTCTTTCTTTCTTTCTTTCTTTCTTCAAACAGCAACCAAACATTTCCAGAAATTCTATATTTCAAACAAATTCATTTTCTCCAACTTCTAAGAGTAATATTGTCCCAATTCAACAATCTTATCATACATCTCATTCAACGGAGAAAAATTTACGCCAAAAGCGTAAACGGAATCATTGGCGTTTTATCAATATCGATAAAACAAATAGTATCACTGCACTGAATTTCAATAATACAACAGCAGCAGCAGCAACAATAACAACAGGAATTAATACTACTACCGCTGTTTCACGTTTTACGTGTAGTTGCTGCTTACATTGTGAGAATTTATACTTCGATATACGTTATTTACGTCATACGAAAAGTCTTTTATCATTAGTTTATGCAATGTCTGAAGACGTCGATACTCATATCATTGAACGATACGATTTGCATAAACGTCTCGGTAAAGGAGCTTATGGTATCGTTTGGAAAGCCATTGATAGGTGAGAATATTTTTCATTTATGAATTACTTTGATGAATAAATTATTGCATGGAAAATGATATTTACATATATTTTTATTAAATGTAAAATTTTGAAAAATGAAAAATTAATAAGTAAAAAGGGATTCTGTTGGAAAGGAAATAGAAGATGAATATTCATTTCTTTCCAAATGAAATAAAAATAGGCTTATAGAACAATTTTTCCTTATAGATAAACGTTTTTTACACATTTCTTCTCTCAATTTATGCTTTAGAAAATTGATATGTGTTGGATCAGTGTTGTAGTTGTGTCGTGAAAGCCATCAGAAATATCACAATGTAAAGCCATCAGAAATATCACAATGTAAAGCCATCAGAAATATCACAATATAAAAGCCATCAGAAATATCACAATATAAAAGCCATCAGAAAAAGATCCACTTAATTTTATCTTCGAAAATAATTTCAAAATTCCTTACGAACATTTTAAATTTGACGTTGAAAAAATTTTTGATTCTAAATTTACAAAAGTTAACAAAATTATGATCGGAAAGACCAAAATAAAATTAGTTTTCAAGAATATAAAAGAAAGAATTGTAGGCAAGTGTGCGAAACAGTAGCATTGAAGAAAATTTTTGATGCTTTCCGGAATCAAACCGATGCACAACGAACGTTTCGGGAAGTAATGTTTTTGCAAGAATTCGGTCGACACCCGAATATCATCAAACTGTATAATGTTCTTAAAGCCGATAATAACAGGTATGTTTGGTTAGATTGTTCCGTCATTCAATAACGTCATTCTTAATATACATCCATCGTACCACATTATTAAGCAAATTTAAAATATCGAATATTAAAATATTTCTTTTCTCCGTTCCATTCCGTTGATTGAATTACTGGAACGATATGAATGTTAAAAAAGAAAATAAAAATTGGATATCAGAATAACGAATCAATAAAAAATTATGGACGATATTTATAAAAAATAATAAATTAAACCACTTATTACTTTTCATTGATAATATAAAGTAATTTACAAAAGGAAATTTAATTAGCTAAATGCTAATTAAATCAAATTCTTATTGCTACGACTGTCATCAAATTGTTGTCACAATTTGAAAATATATTTTTTATGTTACAAAATACTTTAACAAATATATTAATTATGAAAAAAAAAATTTCATAGAATATATTACGTTAACATAATACATATACTATTTTATGAGTATTTTGAAATTTCAAAAAAATGTTTATCAAATATTTTCCTCTTTCTCTTCATTGCTACCAGCACGCACATACACACATATGTCGGTGTAATCATTTCACTATCGATAATTTCACTCCCAAAAATTTTCGTGTGAATAATATTTTTCAAATTGTTCGTTCGTTGAAAATTCTTTTCGAACAACTAACTTATTGGGAGAAGTACATAATTGTCAGATAATTTGAATGATGCATATAACATGCAAAATATAATGCATGCATTTAAAAGGAAAAATAAGAACAAAATGTAGGCATCATTTCCTTTTTTAAATTCATTATTAATTAGTATTAAAATTTAAAAATGATAATTATCAATTTAAAAATAAAAAAACGTAATTCAAAAGTAATATTTATTAATTTCACAATTAAAAAATTCAAAATGATATTTTAAAAATGATAATCATCAGTTGCTATTTAAGTAATAATGATAAATCTTGCCGTAAAATTTTATTGCTCAAAAATTATCTTAATTACTAGTCTGTTTAAGCTTCTATACTTTGCAATGCTGAATATGCAATTTAGAATTAAAGCAATTAAAATTATTAAAATGGCAAATTTGCAATCAGAATAATATTTACTTGGCTTTTTGTACGTTTTTAGGGATATTTATTTAGTATTCGAATTCATGGAAGCTGATTTGCATAATGTTATCAAAAAGTTAACAATCCTAAAAGATATTCACAAGCAATATATTATGTGCCAATTATTTCGGGCTGTACGATTCTTGCATAGCGGAAATGTTTTACATCGGTTTGTTATTTATATCAAATAATTATCAATAAATAATTAATTTTTTGTTTTATAAAAATTGATTAATTTCTTAGTTTTATTAAAAAAAAATTTTATTCATTTGTTTTTATATTTTGTAAAGTTTCAATGAATTTCTACCAAAATCAAAGTAGAAAGTGCAACAGAATTTTATGCAATTCATAAACTTTATCGATAAGAAATTGCAATATTTCGAGTTTAATACATTTTCACGAAATTGTCAAATTGCAAATGACCTCATTCTGTGACCTTTGAACCAAATTATCAGAAAAGAAAAGGTTTCTGAAATGATGGAGTAGATAAATAATAAAATATCTAAAGAATGAAAATGGTTTGAACATATGATCACACTTCAAATACTGTTCATTTTAGATGAATAAAATCAAATGAACAAATATTTTGAATAATAAAAATCGTTTAATAAACAATTAGTAAATAAACCATTCCTATCCTAATAACAAACTATTAGAATATGAAACATTATAGTGTGAAATAAAGAATATAAATTGTAAAATTGCTCGAACAATAAGAAACTTTCAAGCATTTATTTATTCTCTGTTTGTTTATTTGTAAACATATAATTAAGCTAAAATTTAAAACTTGCAAAAATTTATTCAGTTTGATCAAGCACAATATGAACAAACAAGAATGATAGGGATGGAATAGTAACAAGTAATATAATGGAATACAATTTATAAGAATTAGATAACATCCTTAAATAAACAAACTTAAATAAACATCCTTAAATAAACATCCTTAAATAAACAATTAATAATAGATAACATGCTTAGAAATTAGATAACGAAATAAAATGATTGTAAATTTTATAATCTATAATGATTCCAATGATGCTAAATTTGTAACCAAATTATAAACATATTGATATGAAGATTTAATTCTTTTGATAACGAAGAAGATTTCAGGATATATTGTTATCAAGTTGATTAGTATCAATATTTGCAAACAATTAAATTGTAGTAAATAATTTTGATGATAAAAAAGTGATAAGTTTTCTTCGATAGGTATTTGCTGAATTTTTCGACGATTTCTAAATTTACTTCAGACAAATTACCATTTTACATCAATGTGATGATTTCCAAAAAATAAAATAAAAATGTGGTGAAGTTCATACAAAGTTGAAATCTAATGATAATTCAAAATTATATGAGGGGAATATTTTTAGTAACAGAAAATTTTTTCACATTTAATGAAATATTGAAAAGGACGACGTTATTTCTATACTCTAATTGTAATATCGATATAGCATATCGATGAATGAAATTATTCGGTTTAGCTTAGTTGCTTACTAATTAATTAGTAAATTTGAATTCAGTGATTTGAAACCTTCAAATGTATTATTGGATGCTGATTGTCGTGTGAAATTAGCTGACTTTGGTTTGGCCAGATCTTTATCTCAAATCGAAGACTATCCAGAAAGACAAAATATGCCAGAACTAACGGTAATGTTTGATTTAAGATTTCTAAACTTACTCTTTTTCATATCTTAAAACCTTCAAAATTAGTGTGAAATGATACTTTTAATGTAAAATGATAAGATTTGACAATTATAATTCGATGGTAACTGAATTTTGAAAACAGCCAAGTTACTGCGAAAATATAAATTGCGAATTGCAAGTGCGAAAGTATTCTTTCAATACAACGAATATATTTTTAGGAATATGTTGCAACGCGATGGTATCGTTCACCTGAAATTTTGCTGGCAGCAAAATGTTATACGAAAGGTGTTGATATGTGGAGTTTAGGCTGTATCCTTGCTGAAATGCTTCTTGGTCATGCACTTTTTCCTGGTTCTTCAACTATTAACCAAATTGAACGAATTATGAATACAATACTAAGACCATCAAAGGTTCATTTTTCATTCATTTATTTAATTAGGTAAATTTTTGAAAAATTTTAGGAAAAAAATTGAACAGAGAAAAACAAAACTTTTCATTGCATTTCATAATTATTGCCTTCTTTGCTATTTGTTTAATTCTTTTGTTTAATCGAAATTAAAAAAGAAAGGAAAAGAAAACTTTTCTATATTCAATGAAAATGAAAAAAGGAAAAACATCGTAGTACTACGAGTTTATTCAAATGTTTTGAATCCTTTCATTTCGAATCATAATTTCATTTGCAATTATAAATAACCTGTCAATAATCTATTATTATAAATAATCTTATTCTGCAAATCTGCCAAGATTGAAAGAAGTATTGCAAAGAATGATTACAAATAGTTAAATTTTTTAGCCATAAAATGTCGAAAGTCATATTAAGGATGAATTATTCTATTAAATTTTAGTCGGATATCGAAAGTATTGGGTCGCAATATGCATCATCGGTGTTAGAGAAGATGCCACGAAGGCCACAGAAACCACTGGAATTATATTTGATGAATTCAGATCCACAGGCTATTGATTTAGTTGAAAGGTATTCGTTGAAATTTACCTTATTTGACGAAAAAAAAGTGTGCAACAAAAGGATACTAGAAAAAAATTCAGTAATTAAAGTGAAATTTTTTGAGATGAAAATTTGTTCTTTTTGATATCTTTCGTTGCATACTTTTTGATATCTGTTGTAAATAATAGAGATAATGAGAAATGGTAAAATAATCAAAAAAAGTTTTGATCATCGTATTCCGGTATTATATTATTATCTTATTTTAGATTACTAATATTTGCTCCACATAAACGTCTTAATGTTGATCAATGTTTGGTCCATCCATATGTCTTGCAATTTCATTCACCGATAGACGAACCGGCATTAAATTACGACATCCTTCTACCATTTCCGGATCACATTCAGCTAAGCATAGATGATTATAGGAATAAGTTATACGAAATGATTCAACAAGATAAGACATATGTGAAACGGACACAGCGCAACCAAATCGTCACTAATAATACCAAGTAAAAGTTAACCATATCACTAGTAACAGTGTAAACAAGGTATTAGTAGCAGTAACTAAATAGTAAACAATAGATTTGATAAGCTTTCCTTTGAAATGAATGGGATAAGCCAAGATGGACGACGAGATAGAGAGACAGGGAAAGAAATACAGAAAAAAATAGAGAAAAATAGTAGGATAGAGGGAAAAAGACAAGCGAATTAAAAGAAGAAAGGTAAAGCAAAATAGTTTTTCTAAGTTCATATCATAATATCATTAATGAGGAAATTTGAGATTATTTGTAATTTCAATTTTACATTTATAATTTTATTAATTATATTGCTATAATTTTTACGCATGAAATTGAAGGAAATTTATATGAAGCGCGAATTTTTATGAGAAATTTAGATCACAAAATATAACAACGAAAACACCGCTTACAAATACCAATGGACAAGCTGTCGCTACAAATGATCGTTTATCATCCGGTATTCGTCGATCATCCTCCAATAATGCAGTACGTACCGCAAAGCAATCGGTAGTAGAAGGAAAAGCACCAATTGCGCAAGGGGAGTGCAGCGATACCGATTATGATACAGCTCGATCGATTTGTCGACCAGTATCTATTGATAAACATAAAAATAGAGAAGCATTTACCATTGAAAATAAACAACCAAGAGGTTAATGCCTTCTTACTCATTAAAATTCAGTCCAATTCATTTTCCATATCCGATATAAGAGCTCCTAAAAGGTGTAGCCGATATTTACAAGAAAATGCAAATGAAGAAATTTTCATCCGGCTACTTTAACCAATAACTTGAATATAATATAAAATAAGATGAAATTTTAACGGAAATGATCGCATTTATTTCCTGATCAAATGTCAAATTATAGAACGAGCTCAAAGTGCAGGAACTCCACAGAATGAAGCTGTTCATAGAGAGCGGACAGCGTCGTTATTATCCAAAACTCGTCCAAGGCGTCGTTCACAACATCGTACCGGAATTTTTTCATCATTCCGAAAATCTGCACAACGTTTTGCATCATAAATGTATGATACATATTCCTAAGATTTATATTTACAACTGTTTATCCCTTAATTAAATCCAACAATTAATTTTTTTAACTTTTCTACGCATCATCTCAAACTAAATTTGCATCTTTGAATTGCTCGGTTATTTTCTTTTCAAAAACAATATGCTTTATTATTATATTGACAGAAATTCTGCAAAAGTCTCGTAATATTAACCGTTCGATTCGTCCTATCTATTTTCAATTGAATCCTCGAAAATTTGTTGAACTTTTCATTTAATTTATCACTAACTTATCAAAAGTTAGATAATCAATTTAACTATCATTTAACTATCATACAGCTAATTTATAAATTTTCTTGATAACAAAAAATTTAGAAACAACAAATATGATAATATTGTAATTTTAATTTTTTTAAATCCCTTATTTCAGCTTTTCCCTCAAAATTACCGGTGTTTCTATCAAGTTTCTGATTGTTCAATGAACCACCGAAATGATTTTCTGACTAGGTAATATTAGGAGAAAATTCATTTATTCTTTCGTTTGTGAAGTTTACGCATAATTATCTATTAATATATTTATACCTTTGATGATGAAATAATAATCAATCACATTTTTGATAATATAATTTATGATATGGTACAGTGATTTTTGACGATATAATCGAAAATCAGACATATTACTGTATTCATTGTTTTAATTCTTTGGACTTCGGGTAACAATAATATAAGTATTAGAGGTAATTTATTTAGTATTTCTGGATATTCTAATACAAATGAATTGCAAATCTAATATTTTTGTACTCGTTAAATTGTATGAATGAATTTCAATTTCATTATAATTTTGGGATTTTCTTCATTTCGAAGAAAACAATCGTATCTAAGATTTCGATAAAAATCAAATCTTACTATAAATATTTGGTTATGAAATTGATATTATATATATTGAAAAATAATATCCAGCAATCAAACGATTTCTCTTAATTCTTAAATACACTTTCAGAATTAAGAAAAGTGAAAATTTGTAACAAATTCTTAATTATAAGGAAATAAGATAAAACAATAATTTATTAATTGTTATAATCGGTGCTTATCTACTCATTCTTCTGTTACTAACTTTGTTTTCTTTGCCATAAATAAATATATTTACATAATCCATTCCAATATATTGGAAATTCTTTTTCACTTTCACATATTACTTGAAATTGCTTGAATAAGTTCTGGCTTCTCTAAAACTTTGAACATTTAATTTGCACGCTTGGAATGCGTATGAAATTCAATATAAAATACCAAATGATGTCTGCAATTACAATTAGTAATTACTAGTAATTACAATTAGAAATGTTTCTTGAAATTTACCAAATAATATAGCAAAAAAAGTTCACGTTGATCAGATTTCAATAAAGATACTGAGAAATTGAAAGTGACACCGTTGAAAAAGTGATTGAAAGTAAAAAAGTAAATAAGGATACTTAAATTTGTTAAAATTAAATTCACAAATTGGCCAATAGAAAAGAAAATATTTGCCGTGGATCGAATAAGACACTGTAAAGTGAAATTTGTTCATTAATTTCTTTAATTAAGTAATTTATCATATGCAAAAAAATTGAGTTATAAGCGCTAAAGTATTAAAGCGTATGATTGAATAGTACATTGTTTTATTTTTGTTCACAATAATTATTCAGCAATAATTTTACATATATGTACATATGTTAAAGATATATTAAAAGCTTCATTCTACACTGTTAGAATTCAACGTGTTGTAACTGTTACCAAAAAATACTGGTAATTCCTTGAAAATTCTCTATAATCGAGATTGATAATTGCAATTGTTTTACTTGAACGAAGTAACTGTGAGTCATTAGTTCACGTTAATTACTTTTCATATAATTGATTTGCAGTAAATTTTATTAAATAAATTTATTAGAATTGAACAATTAAAATCACACATAATCAGTTAGTTCTCAATTTTTGATTAACTTACAGATATTTAATACAATTATTATTCAATTAAATTTTCGGCTCTTTTTAACAAATAATTTAAACTTATGTTTAAGCTAATCATTCTCTATTCATTTTGTTAATTCCTTTCGGAATTCTCATTTGAAAAACTCTTCCGTTTTTCTTCGAAACTTTCCGTTTAAAAACTCTTTTCTTTAAAAGATTCGTTGACTTCTCAAATTCAATAAACGGATAAGAATAGATAAGGAAGAAAAAAGTTGAATTGCAAAAGAATGAATAGTTAAAAAAATTTTCCATGTGAGCATATGGAAAAGCTGGTAGAAGGGAAAGAAAGCTCTTCGAAAGTCAAATCTAATCATACCCTCAAGCATATGCACACATATCCGCTAGTTAATATACCGTAGAACAAGCAGTAAAGAGCAACATGACGAATAAAATAAACATGTTATGTCAATGAATAAATAGATGAGTAAATAAATGAATAAATACATTTGCAAATATAAATGAACCGATAAATAGAGAATTTATATGAAGGAAAGTTATAAATTAATTAATTTACAAATAAAAAATGTAAATGACATCTAAATATGTAAACATAAATGATAATGATGTAATAAACAGCTTGGCTTACCTTTTCGATAAAGTCGTAATTTACTGTTAATGAATTAATGATAGTGTATGTGTGTGTGTGTGTGTGTGGATGTGTGTGTGGATGTGTGTGTGTATGTGTGTGTATGTGTGTGTATGTATTAGCGGTGGTTTTGAAATGTGTTCATATCGAATTGTACGAAAAGCTTTTGCCTTAAGGACGATAATTTGAAGCTTCTCATCGAACAAACGCAGTATAAATGAGCTTCGTAGAAAAGAAAAATGGGAAATTGGTACACAACCAAGAAGAAGAATAGAAAAGGACATAGGCATTGCAATTAGGCTAGCCTAGCCTAGACTAAGCAAGACAAGACAAGACATATATATATATATATATATGTGTGTGTGTAAATATTGTATATGAATATATCCAGAAGGATTTAGAAGTGGCCTTTTTCTAAAATTTCTTTTGACAGCTAACTATCATGAGTGGAATATATGGAACGCCTTTCAGCAACTACTGGAAAGGTCCTAAAATTCGTTTCCTAAATCATGAGGGCTAACATTGTACTCATATCAGCCTTAACGCCTATTTAGGCCTTCCTTTTCTTTCTTCCTTCTCTTTTCCCAAATTTAACAGTTTTTATCATGTTCGCTACCCTTATTATTGTTTGATAAAATGTTGTTTGATACAACGTTTTCTTTCTAGAATCAATATCTCTCAGATTTCTAAATATCATACTTCCCATATAAGAATTAATGAATTGGAATTGAAAATTCCCGTTTTCATATTTTTTATTTTAAAATTTTCATATTTTCATATTTTTAAATTTCAGTTATTGGCAGCTTTATTTATATGTATGTTATACATTTCAAACGTTTTCTTTCTTTTTAATCCCTCTTGATTACTTTTATTATTTCGATTATTTGTCCCTCTTTTTAGCATTGATATGAAATTTTCCGATTCATTGATAAGAGTGATAATTTGCCGTAGGAAAACATAATATGTTCGATTTATTATTATTATAGCCATTTTCATTTTTGATCAATTTCTAATCCAAAAATTTCACGTCTATTTCAAATGCCAAAATAAAAAAGGTAAAACTATTTCAAATAAAAGTTTTCTTAACTTATAAATAAATTGCAGAAATAATTAAGGCATAATAATTGTAAGAGAAATTAAAAATAAGTATTCCTTGTCGGTGCACTAATTTAATCCTTTCATAACCTTTAGTCTTTCTAAGTTGACCTTTAGTCTTTTTAAGTTGATCTTTAGTCTTTTAAGTTGACCTTTAGTCTTTTCAAGTTGACCTTTAGTCTTTTTAAGCACAACAAATTTCTGAATAAATTTATGAATTTATTAGGAAATAATTTAACAAACATTTTTGATCGCTATTTGTTAGCTTTGGCCATTTGTTTAAAGTGGCAGCTTCTTCTTTCGACGGATATGTTCAGATTTCCTTTCCATCTTTTCCTTTTTTCCACTAAATTTTTTTCATTTTCCCTTTCTCATTAAGTAGCTTATTGTTTTAACTGCTTACTTCCAAACACTCAACAAATCTTATTGCTATTTCATTTTTATTGTTTTATTTTATTACTTTTTTTATCGCAAGAAAAAGCGAAATATTATGTATAAAGAAAAAGAGTGGGCCAAACTTCTTATGTCTATTATATATAAGTATTCAACTAAATTTCTACATTTTACATTATCAGTACTTTTCTTATTTATTATTATTATTATTATTATTATCTTTTATTATTATTATTATTATTATTATTATTATCATTATTATCATTATTATTATTATTACTATTATTATTATTATCTTTTATTATTATTATTATTACTATTATTATTATTATCTTTTATTATTATTATTATTATTATTACTATTAATTATTGTTAATAATATTTATTACTTATTATTTATATTCGACATTTTTAGATAAGTTTCAACATGACATTTTGGAAATTCATTGGCCATCGAAATTTAAATTGTCTTTTATTTTAAAACATAAAAATTTATTAATTTTTTTAGATCCATTATTCAGAACATTTTCTATTGCATTAAATGTAAACATCTTTTTTTCAGCAATAGAAGAAATATTAACATAAACTTAGTTAATTAAAATTTCATAAAATTATAATATTTAATCACTAAAAATTTAATTGCAAAATAAAATTTCTAAGATAAAAATGATATTTTTACCTTTTGTAATGAATTTTATATTAACCAAAATTTTATTGTTTTAACAATACCTTTGAAATATTGGTTAAATTTTGATTATGAGCATACTATTAATTATTTAATTAAATTCTATATTTAACAATTAATAATTTTCATAAATTATCATTTGTACATTTGCTAGGCCAATTAATTATCGTAATTGGTTTAGCGTACAGTGTAATATATCTAACAAATCAGATACAGTAATAATTAACAGATAATATCAACTATCTTGAAATATCCATTTATTGTTCGTTTATTATATTTTTAATAAAGTTTTTGAAATTATAAAAGTAAACAAAGAAAAACAAAAAGGAATACTATCGCGATAGATTAAATTAATCGTACTCTAAAGGAAATCTTGCAACACTAACGGTTTTAACTTTTAATTTTCTGTTAATATTACTATCATCCCAATGAATAATAGTAATATCATCGTAATAGATAATATTATTATTAATAAAATTAAAAAAAAAGACTTTAATAATTTTAAATTAAGAAAAAAATAATTGGTTTTATTTTTAAAATTCGATGATTTATTCTTAAAAACTTTCCAAAAAATTTCGAACAAATTAACAACAATTATTCTTTCTTTCTCATCTTTTTTTCCATTTAAATTATTGCTGCAAAGGTATGTATAATCTTTCAAACATAAATTTAACAAATAGCAAAAAAGTTTCAGAAAGCTAATACATTGTTGTTATTTCAGAAATGTTCAACTTCTTAAGGATCGTTTAATTTCGTTTTCTTCTCTTTTTCGACACTTTCTATTTCTTTTCAAGTTTTACATCAACAAAATTTTATTAGCAAATTAGTCATAGAAGTTTAGTGATATTAGTTTTTGATTGATTAAGATTAGTGATAATTCTTAATGTTTAAATCTTTTATTAAAATGTTAAAATTTAATCATTTTTTGCTAACAAAATAAATCGATTTTGAAAATATCATTTCTATTCTTTGAATAAATAATTTATCATCAATCGAATGAAAATTTTATCATTTGTAATCAATAATTTATTATCAATTTAATAGGAAAATTTATTTTAATTATACAGTTAGAGTATTTTTCTTGTTTCTTATCGTATAACTATTACTGAAATAAAAGATAACTTTGAAAAAGTACTATATCATATAAAATATCGTAAATATAATTATATAGAATAATTCAATGGAAAGGTTTATTTTAATTATATAGTTATATCATTCATATTTTATTTCCATTTTGCATATGCAATTATTATATATTTCATTTTTCATTGCTATCATTTCTTTTTTATTTATTATTTAACTTTGTGATTATAATTCTGTTACTGTACACATAGTAAGTCATTCTTTTAACTCTTTGTTTTATACATAATTAATTGTTCTTTTAATTTTAACAACCAAAAATATTCATTCAATTTATTTACTATTTTCTTTTTATTGAAGTATTATCCATCTATTATAGTAAATGTCGGCCAGCAAATCATTGCAATTTTGATTTGTTAAATTTATCAAATCTCATTTTCTTGAATGAGCAAATCTTAAGATAATAACTTTCATTTAAACATTACTTCAAACTCTGATAATGAAACTTTTTTTTCCATGAATGTTGAAATTTTGCAAATATTAAGTGAAATAGGATGAATTTTCCTTGACTGGTAGAATATCACACATAGTAATTGTTTGTTTATTTTATCATTTAAACAATTAAATCATTGGAAAGGCTTTATTTCAGTTTACCTTAAATACTTGAAAGAGATAAACAAATGTTCTTTCGTTTTTTGCAAAGATTACAGTCAGATGAGATGATTCATTAAACTGCATTTCTAAGCAATTAGAAATTGAATATCGGTCTAAGGATGACTCACTATTTATCAGTACTCAACTAGTGAAAATATATTATTTCAAAATGAGTCGTACATAAAGTTTTTATTCATATCTATAACATTCTATAACTGCAACACAGTCTCTCTTTAGTTAAATCCAAGATCGGGTGTATTGTTGTTGTCACGTATCTCGCAATATTTGTTGCTTTCATACATGCCAGATATTAAGTTGCTTTCATACATTTCAGAATACTTTTTTTATATCACTCATATATCTTCACTTCATTCTTATATCTCGTAGTATCAAGTTGCTTTCTTATATTTCGCAATATCAAGTTGCTTTCTCATATCTCGAAGTGTTAAGTTGCTTTCTTTCTTATACATGTTGTTGCTTTCTTAGTTCTTTCTCTCTTCTATCTCAAGATATTTCGTTATTTTCATATATCATAATTTTTTTCCATCATATCTTATCATATTAAATTGCTTTCTTATATTTGATTGCTCTCATAGAGGAAAGCAATTCTTGCAATAAATCATCAAAAATAAATGTTGAAAAAAACTTCTGAGCTCTATCTATCATTTTAACTTCAAAAGTTGAAATAAGAAGAAGAAAATGAAGCTCTCTTGAAATTTACGAAATTTTCGACAAAAACATTTTGCTTCCTTTTAAAATGCTTCAAAGCCATAAATTACTAATTGTATTGCCAACATTTGCTTCCTTTAAAGCTTATGCAAATGTGCTTATTTTGCATGACATTTTGCTATTAGCAACAACAAATGCTGAATTTCTTTCAAACAACACATTATAAAAGTTAATTTTGGTTTAACTTACTAGTTAAGCTAAGAGTTTGCAACTTCGCAACTTAATCCTAAGCTATTATATTTAACTAATCAATAAAGTTACAAAAAATATATTGCGACATAATTAGAGCGTAGATGTAAAAAGTTTTCAAACATAAAATTAAAATGTGAAAATTAACTTCAGAATATTATCCTTAAGCCTAAATCATTCTTTACGTCCAATTATCGTCAATTATCAATTAAATTAGACAAAAGTGAAAATAATTTATTTTAATTTATTCAATTGATATTTAAAAGGAATCAGTTGAAATGTTTTGAATTTTTATTTTACTTTTGAGAGAGAGTTTTAACTTCGCACGATCAAATAGTATCAATGAAAGATTATCTTATTTTAATTCTTACTTGATTGATATTATAATTCATCTGTAAGTAATACATAATATTTTCCTTTATTTAAAATTAACAAATTTTAATTGAATTTATTTACTTATTTGTTTTTTCCTAAGAATTTTCTTTCCATTCTAATTTTTTTTTTTTTTAGTAATTCAATTAATTTGCATAATAAATTTTTAGCATAAAAGAAAATATTAATGACATCTTTTCCTGCAAATAAACTAAAATTAAATTAAATCTGTCAATAAATTACAAAAAAAAAATAAAAGATAATAAACCAAAAATTAAATTTGATTTTATCAAAATTGTCTAACATTCCTTCGCCTAATACATTTCAGTTTACATTTGTTTACTATTTATATTTGAATAAATTTAAATATTTGACATTATATGATTGGTTGCCAATAAAATTCTTTTCGCATTCATATTGTCTTTCAATATTCCCATCTATTACTGAATGGATAAAAATGGTATAATACAAACCTCAGCTGCAGTTGTTTCCAAACTCATAACAAGCCAAGAAGCAATTTCTGAGCCCTCAAGAACACCATTTCCATCTTTATCATAATCATGTTCAAAACGATTCTTTTCCACCATG